GTGTGAGTCGTGACAGAGATTCACAGAGCAGAGCTGATGACTGGGATTTAATACAAAAAGGGAAGAATGATGAGATGTGGGTTCTGTTGTACCAAAACACTCATTGTACATGTCCCAGTAGAAAAATGTAATTTTTGTGTGTTTGTTTTCTGGCAGAACTCAGAGTTGAGAGTGGGTGTGTAGATGATTTTCTGCTGTGTGTGTGCCTGTGTGTGTGTGTGTGAGGAGAGAGAGAGAGGCATAAAGAGAAAGCAAAGGTGATGAACTCTCATATGTGACTAAAGACACAATGGAGAGGAATCACATACCTTTCTCAACTGTTGTGCATATGTGTGTCTGTGGCCACGTACAGTGGAACTGGCCTGCTGGCATTTATTAATGGTTTCACTGCTCATGGAAGCCACAGGATGAATGCGGAGGAGTGCTGGAGCGTTCTGTGTGCTCAGATTCAGCCAAATGTACCAACACAGTAGGACAGCGATCCTACACATACGGCCAAGGCAACCAAAGCACTCTTCAGGGTGAAGAGGTGGAATGTTCTTGACTGGCTGAGTCAGTTACCTGATCTTGTGACTGTAATGTTTTATTAACTCTACCCACATGGCTGCAGGGGGCTATAGCTGATCCCAGCAGACAGAGGCGGAGTACACCCACTGTGCCATTATTTTTTTGTGCAGGGTGCAGAATAGCAAATTCAGCAAAGAGCAAAGAAGTCGACTACTCGACTAAAATGTGGCATTGCAACTAGGGTTATAATCGATGAATTGTTTAAACCATTCATCCAACAAAAAATATTATGAATTAAATATCTTTGGCTTTTGTTTTGCTGGCTAGAGAAAATATACAGTGAAGATTTTCTGAGAGAACATAGTGAAGTACAAAACAAAACACGATGCGTTAAGCAGCTCTAACTGCTTCTAACTAACCAGTTAGCTGTTCTCATGACGACGACCCAGTAATGCAGCTACATCAAAACATGGCAGTGTAGTGATGAAAATCTTCATGCAAACAAATAATATTTTCACAGTAAAGCAAGCTTTGTCAGCTGCTTATCACTGTCAAACTGTTATCTCAAAAATGTCAAAAAAGAGAGGATTTATCCTGACAATTCTCCATTAATCCGTTTCTTTACTATTTTTAAAGAGGTTTTCATGAATCTACGTGTTATCAGTTTTGTAAAACAAAATTCCGCTAATAAATGTGTATCTTTATTTGATTTTAATGTGCTTTAAAACACTTCTGTTTTTTTATTCCTGCGAATACACTAGAACCAAAACCAGAGAGCTTCTCCTCTGATTCCTCCTCCTCGATGTTCTTGGGACTCTGCTGACCAGTGAAGCGCTGCCTCCAAACCAGGGTTCTAGCTAGGAGTCACAGGAAGGGCAAGCTCATTAATTATCTCTCCCTCTCTTCCTCCCATCACCCCCTCCCTTCATTACAGCAAGGTTAATCCCCCTTATCTCCCAATGAGCCTCATTTTTCATGGTTTCCTTTCAGTTCCACCCTCACCCCTTCTCCATTTTTTTCTTTTTGTGATTCTTCTTTCCCTCTTTTCATGGCTGCTTCTCACTTTCTTCTGCTTTTCTGTCTCTAGTTTTGCATCTTCCCATCTTGTTTGTTTCTGGTTTCTGTCCCTGCACATACTTTGTTTTTCCTCTCCTTTTCTTCCACCTCCTCATCTTCCCATTCTGTCCTCTCCTTTGCTCTCCTGTTCTCATTCTCTCCTCTCTCTTGTGCTTACCTTGAGCAGGCTGTGGTGAGTGGAGAGAGTAGATCTATTACAGCTTATCACTAAAGGACAGGCCTACGCTGCACGCCGGTGAAATATGGCTGGGGGCCATGCACAAGGCTCCCAGAGTTATAAGAATGAGGAGAGGAGAAGGGGGAGCGAAGAGGCTACTGAGACCAGGATCAACTCCTTAGCTCAAATTAATGGAAAGATTTTCAGGCTTGATGCTGACTGCTTGACAGTGATTTAACACACAATTAACCTTGTCTCTCTCTCCTCTCTGCGCTCTCATCACCTCCTCGGTTTCATTCACCGCTTTGTTCTCTCCAGCTCTCTCTGTCCTGTGTACCCGCTACACTCCTTGACACTGGCTTATCGATTATAAACCAAATGGAGATGACGATGCTTCATTAGAAAACTGACACTCCCTATTGTTGTGTGGCAATTGAATTAGCTCTGAATCACCAGCATCTGTGTAGTGTAGCATCATGTGCGTCATTCTAGGATTCACATAAATCTCACCATTCACAAATTCATAGCGCAATTTAGAGGAAGTGTGAGAATCATTTCCATGAGAATAACAGAGTTTCAAGTATATGACTTGTGATTTTTTTTATTTAAGTCAGTGCAATGATAGATTTCCACTCACCAGCCCTTTTAAAAGACCATCCGTCCTGCAGCCTCAGCCTTTCAGACTGACTTTACTCACTGCTTTCATGAGACATTTCATCGCGTGATACAGCTTATGGCACCAAACAGCATTTAGCTGGGGTGTTAAAGAGGGAGAGAGGAGGTGTACCGAGTAATAAAATAGAAGGAAGCAATGCTTTGTGATAGAACTAGCCTTAGTAATAGCAAAGGCTTGTTTCTTTTAGACTGAAATAACTGTTCAAGAAAGAAAGAAAACCATTTGCTACAAATACTGTCATTGTAGAAGTTGCAGTACAAGGAAGGAGGCAGTTGCCATGGTAACCTGCACAATTTACGCAAACAGCTGGCATTTTGTACCATATGTTTGTGTTTCAGTAATAACATTGAGCAAGAGGCTTCATGTTATATATTATATAGGGAACTATTTGATGTCTTCATATAATTCCAGCTATATTTGTTGCTTTAATACAAAAGGTACATTTGCACAAATTCACAGGGACTAGCAGCCCCGGGTAAAATCAATAATATCACCAATGAGGCGGCAGTGGAGGTTTAATTCAATTTAAGTACCTCTATCATAAAATATATCTCTGGGTGAAACTTCCTGTGGACAACTGGAGATGAAAATAGAGTACCTGTATTAGGATCAATCAAGTATTAAGAGGTAATAATACAGCTTTTATGAAGTGTGCCTGGTTGAGCTACAATCTCATAGATGGATGAGGTGAGAGCAGAGGGGTGTTCAGACATCTCCCTGGGTTGGCACAGTGTTTGCACAGCTTTTCTGAGCCTCAGCACATGAGATGTGGACCAACTACAGCAGGGCAAGTTTGACAAGTATGCGACAGAAAGCACGGGTGCCGTCAAAGAATTTGCTGATGCAATATTGCTGACTAAGAGTAAATTTCTGCAGACATCTTGAGAGGCTGAAAAGACTCACAGCTATAGTACAGTACATAGGCAAACACTTCAGTAGTTGTTGTTGTAAGCCTTTTAGAAAAGTTAGCATGAACTTTTTCTTATCTCTAAAGTGAAATTAGATACGAATCATATGTGATTAAGTGAGGTTTCAGCAAATCAGCAAACACAGCTTTAACGTAGAGTACAGCTTGGTACTAGAGTTAGAGTCAAGTATGACATTTGCTTGTTTATTGAATTGGTTACTGACCATACGTAAACTAACATGTTAGCGCTGCCTCGCGTCACAAGTGTGTGCAGTACACTGTGGTTCAGTGGTATCCCAGTGGGAACCAAGGCACCGTCCCTGTGGCACAGGCACACTGGAATACAGGTACCTAAATTAGCTACTTGAATTCAGTTCATCTTTAATTTATAATATAATTGCTACAGCTTGAACAAACTCATTCATTTGGTGATACTGAAGGAAATATAATTTCCAGAATCATATGACTTAGGAATAACAGGTGGATACGGAGCTGAGAACAAAAGACCATAAAAACATCAAGGTTCAAAATGGATTACATGTCTGAAGTACAAAGGGCAGCTTCATGAAACACACCAGTGGATTTAATTCGGGGTACTTAAATGCCGTAATGCAAGGAAAACGCCGCAGTAACATTCAGATACACTAAAATTAAAATGTGTAGTTTTGTTTGATTACCACAAAAAAAGATCTCAGGTATATTATGCAAGCAATTGAAATTCAAGTAAATCCTCACAGCTTGGTCTCCTCTCAGCACTCAGCAGTCACACAGCATGTTGTACTAATGCTGTGTTTCCTCTAATGTCCAAATGGGAGAGCAGACTAAAGCAGATTGTCTGGCTTATGCCATCACTCGTGATTTTCATTATATGGAGGTGGTGAGCTTCACAGTCCCCATCACAAAAACAGCACACATGCACACACACGCTATGCGCATGCACAGAGTATAGTTAAGTAAGTGCTGCTGTAGCACCGGTTCTCCATGACTCATTCACGACGCAGCCGTGTAAAGGGTTTAACACCAAGGTAGGAGGGGATAAGCAGCACCCCTGATGTTTAAGCTGCCTTTGCTTTGAAGCAGATGTGAGCATGTGTGTTCAGTTTCTCTCTCTCTCCTCCTCAGTCTCTCTTTGTGTGTGAGTGCAAGCTGGTGTGCCCATGCACCTCACGAGCACTATACCAAACGTCACAACTATTACTGTGTCCTGATCAGTCCACTGAAAAGGAAGCTAATCTGTTGCGAAGGAAGCAGGGCAGGAATTAACTCCTTCAATCCACCACTAGTTTCCTTTTAGCATCTAAGGCATCCTGCCATGTATCTCCATGCATTTTCTAGCTGCATCCCAACTCCCAGTAGCTAGTGGTTGTATACACAAATGCCTGCCATTCTTTCAGATGATACTGTGTTCATTTACTGCAAGTGATGATTAGTTTCATATTTTTCCACAAAGCCCTGATACCCGTGAATTGAAATTCCAACCTGAAAGTTGATGTGGTTTTAGTTGACTGAATTTGAACATTAAACAGGAATTTCAATTCATCTCATTCAGTTTTCAGGAATGATTAAAACTGAAAGTGAATGTACTGCAACCCAAAGTATCAGGGCTATCTCCATTACACATTCAGGCAGTAGACTCTCTTGTATGTTAAGTGTAAATGTGTTTGTCCTTCTCATAGACCATTGTTCGAGGGAACCGGCCGCCCAAAGACGCATCTATCAACGGCCTGCTGGAGGAGTTTGACAACATCTCAGTAACGCGCTCCAACTCCCTGCGTAAAGAGAGCCCACCGGGACCCCACCAGGCTGGAAGCAGCACCAAACCCTTGGGTAGCGGTCATCTTAATGCCCCAGAGGAAAATGGATTCAGTCACTACTATTCCCGATACTCCTGTGATCTTGACACCTCCAGCAGGGACTTCTCTCAGGATCCTGGCAAGCCAGGCTTTTCCATTGATGGGGACTGGGCTGCCGGAAGGCACTATCGATTCACTAAGCAGAATGGCCACTCACACCCCATACGTAGCCCCTTCTACCCAGATGCCATGCCCCAAAAATCAGACTATGGCAAGCTGCCCCCAGACTACCACACCTACCTGGAGAGCAAAGGGCGCTCAGCCGATGAGGTGGCCTCCACAGTAGGGAGTGGGGTGGGCTCCAGTGGCTACTATCGGGCATCTGTGGGTGGCTCATCCAGCCAGGACTACCGGGACACCTCAGTAGGCACGCCATCTCGTGCCTCGCTCCATAGTGAGCAGATCATCTACCCAGACAGTGAATGGAGCTACGGCGGCCTCCGGGATGAGTATGAAAAGCGACCCAAGAGTTCGTATGTGACACAGACCAGCCCCACGCCAGCTATCAGGCAGCGGTCTCGGTCAGGCTCTGGGCTGCAGGAGCCAAATGTCCCCTATGCAGCAAGTGGGGCTTTCAAGAACCCTCCTCAGGCCCACCCATACAGCTCGTACACCTACCCTCGCCTCTCAGAGAGTCTCGCTAACTCACAGACTATAGCTAAGGTAACTACAATGAAACACAAAGACCATCCATATATATATATATACTGTATATATATATTACTTTGGCTCATGTCCCATCCACTAGTAGTGGCTTCACTTTTGCCAAGCGACATGACACTCCACATTATGTATGAAATGCCTGCATTTCAAGTATGTTGGCACCCAGACGCCCAAGAGATTCTTCCACACAGAGACCCCACAAACAAGAGCAAACAAGCCTTCCATGCATTAGCGGCTGTGTAATGTAACCATATGCTCCTAGTATAAGCTGCTTGTGGTGAGTCTTTCACACTGATATTATACAGAGCTGCATATGCAACTAGATATCAGTTATACTTATCAGGGTGCCAGAGATGTTGCCAGTCAATACAACAGCAGTGCTGAGTCAGAAAGGCCGATCATTCTGTAAGCTGTTCTCTTGTCTTTAAATCGTTCTTTCAGTCCTCATTAGGTCCATTATATGGGAATGTGTGCCTCTATAATGTCTCTCCACCATCCCTCCTTTCACACACATTGAGTCCAGCAGCTGAGTGGAAAAATGGGTTTGTTGATGTAGATCCCAGGGTGCCTTGATGAAAAACCATTTAACCTGCATGCTTCAGTAAATAGCCACTCACAGAAAAGCAGCCACGGAGACTGCAAGAGCAGCAGGATTGGAAGTGATGCAGGAGGAGGTCATTTCTTACATGTTATTTCTTCTTATCAGTTTCTCGGTTGTTTTGCTAAAAGAGGGACATTCGCTTTCTGAAAATGTGCAGGATGTTTGGGAATCTAAAGGAGATTTAACAGAGCGCAGTCGCATCCACTGTTTTTATATTGATCCAAAAAGCTAAACATGCTAAAAGATATGAACTCCGTCTAACTGTTCTGCTGTTTTTTTTTAAATATTTGATTAACAGTGCATTGTTTATCTGAATGTTAAATGGGATGCAGGCCACAATAAAGTGCTGGATGGGGAGTCAGTGATCAGTCAACCATAATTTGCCTTGTGGTGTTTGGAGATTTTGTAAGAACCAAAACGAGTTATCAGGCAGCTTAAGAACCACTATTGTTCTCAGTTCTTGGACCTTGTACCTTGTAACAAACCCACCCTCTCTCATTCTTGCTCATTCTCATTTCTTCCCTTTCCTTCATTCAGCCCCCTCACATCACTGAAGTAAATCCTTCTTTTTCCCAGCTGTTGCTGGGAGCCAGTGGGGATGTCATGGTAGACGGCACCACGACTTGGCCACACACAGTCAGACGCACAAAGATTCGTACACACACACTCTCGCTGTGCCCCTTTCTTCCTTTCTCATTCTCTCTCTGTGTTTCGTGGTGAGTGTAAGCTTGGTGCTGCAGCTCTCAGTGACAAATTGATGTTGCGGCACTTTCCCTTTCTGCAGCCTTAGCATAAAACTGGCCGAATGATGTTCCATGGCAGAATTCAATTTCACAGTTGAGTTAGGTTGTTGATTACCCTGCCAAACTCAGATTAATGTGCATTTAACCAACATGGATCAGGAGACCCTTGGCTGACAGCCAGCCAGCGTTGCCCGGTCAACGATAGGTCCCCCCCCCCCCCCCCCAGACACACACACCTGCCTGAGAGTGATTGATTAAAACAGTTCACGCAAAGTAATTATACACCATCCCAACACAGGACTCCTCCTCCTGCCCTCTTTATGCACACGTGTGTGTTTATTTGTGCATGTGTCTCTTTGTGTATGAGAAAGTGGCAGTCAGAGATAGAAAGAAACAAATAAAAGTAAAGAGAAAGAGAGGGAGTTTCTTTTTATTATCCTCTCAGTCTCTTGAGAGTTTATGATTGCTGTGATGTTTTGGAAGGTGTGGCAGAGGTAATTGCTTCAGACCTCTGCATTGTGTATGTAGTCCATTATCTGTGAGTGCATTAGCTTTCTATAGTCCATCTTGGACTATTGATATTTAGCTAGTGTTTTGACTTTCATAGATGAATATAAACTAAATAACATGTAGCCATTTCACTCCTCTGCTACTGTTAATGTGACTGTTTATGTAGTAGCAAAGTTTTCTATTTTTGACATCACTTTTCTCCATGATACAGACATGCCAAGGAGGATCAAATACCACAAGCCATTTCACCAGTTTTCTCTGTTTAGTCAGCTGTGGTTACACAGTAAAACAGGTTCCACCTGTACAAATTACTACTGCTTTGGTGACATGTGGTTGGAGCGTGCATGCTTTTGTGTCTGTACGCCAGGCCTGTTATGAGTCAGATCCTTTAAACTGACTCATACAACTGAGCTTTTTATAGGCCTTTGTGCAGCTCTACAATCTCACTGTGTGTATGTGTATACCACTGTTCATGTGTACACTCCAACACAACTTTAAGAGGGACTCTACTGTTTTGCGGGATCTTAAGGATGAGACATGTCGCAGATCTGAATGCTCCCTGGTCTCCTGATTGAAGAAAAGAGTCGTTGTGAAGCATGTTCTCTGTTAGGTCTGTCCAAGGCTAACATACCTGCAGTACAAGGAACAGAGCTGGCTTATTGTGGGCCAGAGTCTGATCATGAATGTACTGTAAACTAATGCATCCAACACAGTAATATGCTTTATTAATGTAAGAAGACTATGCCAGTGCAAACAGTATACAAATCGTGGTGTTTTTTCTGTTTAGATCCCTCGATTAAATAACCAGGTTCTTTTGCTTTTCTAGGGCGAGTACGATCGTCCATCACGTGACAGCAGTCCCCAGGTTACGGGTGGTGACACCTACCCCCGAGGGCCTCTTAAGCTACCTCAGAGCCACACCAAGCCACCTGGCTACCCCCCAGTGCACCTGCCCTACCCCCCTGTCTTTCACCATTTCAAACCCTCGCCCTACCATCATCCCCCCTCCCAGCCCAGCCCACCATACACCCCTCAGGTACAGTATGTTCACTTCATTTATAGGATTACTCCATATTAAACTGGTTGTCTTCTGTTCCAAATCAAAACTACATCTGGCCTTTCGAAGTTTGGAAGTCAGTTTTCCTAAATACAGTAATAAGTGTAGGAAGATGTGAGTACTATTTTATTAGTGCTCTAATTGTTTCCCCTCATTTTGTACATATGTGTGTGTATTCCATCCAGGGGGCTTATTCACAGCCTTCATCACCCTACATCCCCCCGGGAGCCTACCCGCCCCCTTCCTGGGGGTCCAGCTCTGATACGCAGCCCTCCAGAGTCTCTCATGAACAGTTCAGAGCTGCACTTCAGCTGGTGGTCAACCCAGGTGAGAAACAAATAATGAACATGAGAGGGTGACTAAAATTCCTTACTTGAACATCTCTTTTTTTGTTTCCCAGTATGGCCTCCAAATTGAACTGTTTGTGTTTGTGTACAGGTGACCCCCGGGAATACCTGGACAGCTTTATAAAGATTGGCGAGGGCTCCACGGGTATCGTGTGCATCGCCAGCGAGAAACACAGTGGAAAGCAGGTGGCTGTGAAGAAGATGGACCTCAGGAAACAGCAAAGGAGAGAACTGCTCTTTAATGAGGTATGAAAGGCTGACAGAGATGGGGGGCGACTGCAGTGCAGTCATCTCAAGCTACATTTTAACACCAATTGACATCACTGTGTTTTTACTTTATACAACAGTACGCGTAGCTCTGGTGTTGTATGTATTGCATGTTAATAGAGTGCTGGATGCTGAATGTTGTTCTGCTATTGTAGGTTAGTTTAACCCTCACAAATAAAGAGCATGATGCCCACTCCTCCCATGTGAGATCAAACCTAACGTTTGTCACCAATTGTTCCTATTTCAAACAAGCAGCAGCACAGATGAAACTGGTTTAAATAGAATCATTAAACATGCATCCCTTTGTGCCAACTAGATAAAGATAAATCTCATGATCACACAGCATTACAGAGTTCTGTTTGCCTCATTTCCCTAATACACAAACCACAAAAAAACTTTACATCTGTAATTGCATTTATTTACTAAAAATTAAGTAGCGTTCATACTGAGAACCCTAGGCAAGATATTTATTCATAGCTGTTTCTATTCACGGTATGCTAAATATTGAAAAATGAGCTCAATATGATTTGCACTTGAGCTGAAATTAATCATATTTGCAGGCAAACCTAAAGATTGCTTGGTTAGGAGAAAAATGTGAATTGAGTAATGGGCAAACTGTAGATTTCAATATTGCACTGAGTCTATTATGGGTCTGATTGTGCG